AAATATAACGCTAAAAATGATCAAGACTATAATACCATCATATGTGGACATTTATGCTTAAAATTTCTCTCTGGTGAATTGGTATAAAACAGCAGACAAGTTCATATATACATCAGTTTAGTGGTAACCACGATGAGTGACTCATTTACATTGACCTTGTCTGGCAGATCTTCTGTACTGGAGGCTTGGTATTTCCCACCCATTGAATCATCACCTCGGAAATCTTACAGTGTGGGACTTGTGGAATTCCTAACGTACAATTCAATTCCTAATATCGATGAAGGATGCAATAAATTTTATTTTCAAAAAGATGGAATGTCAGTACGGCTGACTATACCAACAGGGAGCTATGAAATCAGTGATCTTGAGAAATACTTGAAGAATGAATTATTAGCCTGGAGAATCCCCTTTAGTTTGAAGGCTGATGATCGGACCACGGTAATTGAAGTGCCGAATGATATCATCATCAATTTCATGAAATCAGATTCGATTGGGCAACTCCTTGGTTTCCAAGGGGAGATTCTCGCCCATTCTACAATCTATCGAGCTGCCAGACCTCCAGACATCATTCATGTAAATTCACTGCGGGTCGAGTGTAATCTGACTGCAGGGGCCTACATTAATAGCCGACGTGCGCATACGATCCATGAGTTCTTCCCAAGCATTCCAACAGGATATAAGATCATTGAATCGCCTGCTCAGGTCATTTACTTGCCGATCGTTGTGCAGTCAATAGATCACCTGCAATTAAAAATTGTAGACCAAGACGATCGTTTGGTGAATTTTCGTGAAGAAGTCATCACAGCGAGACTTCATATAAGAGCTGATTAAGAAAATGGGCATTGTCTTTGAGAAGAAGATCGGTGGCAGTTATAAAAGTGAGGACTCATGCCGGAAAGTGGACAGTCGTCGAGTGCCTCTCACGAAGCTGACATCGCAGAACATCAAGTTCCTGAAGAGTCTGGGTCTGAAACTTCGCAAAAAAGTGCCAAAGTAAAGTTTTGCTGTGTCTTTTTTGCCTGCTGTTACTATCGTCTACCATGGAAGAAATGTTGAATATTCAAAAGCGAATCATCTTTGATGAGTCGATTTCTCATTATGAAATCCATGCTCATCAGCCATTCGCATCGTCATCCTTTAACAACAACGATGAAATCCGTATTTCCGTACAACATCAAGATCTCTGTCTGTTGCCAAGCAAGAGTTCACTGCATATCTGCGGCCGTTTGACGAAAACAGATAATGCCGCTGTTGCTAACACAGAACTTGTCAACAATGCCATCTGTCATTTATCCGAAGAAATACGTTATGAATTGAATGCTGTGGAAATTGATAGATGCAAAAATGTTGGCCTTACAACATTAATGAAAAACTACATTTCTCAGAGCCCCAGTCAAGGCTTTCTTATGGAAAACGCAGGCTGGAGAATTGATAAAGAGAAGAAGATAACTGATGATGCAGGATATTTTGATGTATCCATTCCCCTCAGTATGATATTAGGATTTGCTGAAGATTACCAGAGAATTGTTGTGAATGCGAAGCATGAGTTGATACTGACACGTTCACACAACGATATCAATGCCGTCATTCAGGGAGCACCTGCGGCTGGACAGCAGGCAGAGACGTTCAAAATTTCCCTCACCAAAATTGATTGGATGATTCCCTACATCAAACCTGCAGACTCTCAAAAAGTGCAACTTCTCAATCAGATTTCAAAGGACAACCTAGTGCCAATCAGTTTTCGAGCTTGGGAATTGTATGAGTATCCTCTCTTACCTAGGACATCGAAACATGTGTAGGTCGTGAAAACTTCAACACAACTGGAGAAACCTCGTTATGTCATTGTAGGCTTTCAAACAGCCCGTAAGAATCAACCCCTGAAAAATGCTAGCGAATTTGATCATTGTAACATTCGAGAGATCAAATTATTTTTGAATTCACAAAGCTATCCCTATGGAAATCTGAATCTTGACATTGCACACAACCAGTCTGCTCTTCTCTATGACATGTACACCAGCTTTCAAACATCGTATTACCATAAAGAGCCTGAGCCACTATTCAGCAGAGCGGAATTCTTGGAAACGGCACCTCTCATCGTCATCGATTGCTCCAAGCAGAATGAGTTCTTGAAATCTGGACCTGTGGACATCCGGCTGGAGTTTGAGTCATCAGCCGACTTCCCCAACAATACAGCAGCCTACTGTTTAATCTTACACGATCGAATCATTGAGTATAGTTTACTCAGCGGTAGTGTGAAAAAACTTATTTAATAAAAAAAAATGTTTCTTGGAAAAGCAATGTAATTTTTTAATGAAATAAACAATAATTATTCTTGGAGACCAACTATCTTATTATTTCTCATCGCCTGCATCATTATTATTATTAGTGCTACATTCTGCCTTTTTTGTTAAAGAATTGAACATTATGATAACACCAAGTTTTAATTCCTGTAGAATACCAAGCATTGGTATAGCTGGACTCTTCTCCCTCAGATCTGGCCCCCTCTTCCTCTTCAATCCGTTGCTCGTTGATGGGCCGTCATCATCATCAGCATCATCATAAGAACTACTCCATCGATCTTGGACGAAATCGAGGTTCACTCTCACTACTATTTCTTCAATACACTCGAGAACCACATCCAATTTTTTTGAAATATGGCTGAGCAATGGCAGCACAGAATCATCAGATTCTTCTTCTTCATGCCTTTTCCTCAAATCACGGTGATTTTGGTCGAAAGACAGGAC